TAACAAATAACTTGGAACTCCTGCTGGTCACGCTTTAGTGAGCCGGCTCGCTCCTGTGTTTCTTCGCTAAATGGACCGTGTTCGAACGAAGCCATGATATGTAGACCTCTTATTCACAATCGAGATTGATTTAATTTGAATTACCTAAATGTAAACAGATACGAGATTTGCTGTGAATCATGGCCGATCCTATTTGCATCTCGAAATGCCCCGAAACTACTGAAAATTAGCGGTCATTGAAGTAAGAAAGCTCGAAAATCGAACGCGAGCTGCAGAGTATTGCGAGTTACCTCATGACGTCCAATTGTATACACGTACATACCGTCCTGAAATGAAAAGAAATACATTTTGTGAAATCTACTGCAGATCTTGAGCGAAATTTCGTAATTGAATTCATGCCTAAAGAAAGTCTAATATCAAATTCGCATAAAAACAGACGTTCAATTAACTTTTATTTTTTATGAAATTCTTCTAATGGGATCGATGTCAGGATTTCTTGGAATGCTTTGCAAGGATTCCTTTTAATTTGAAGGGATCAGCGATAAACACGAGTGTTCGCTCCACTCCCAAATCTGTCCCAATATCTTTAGGGCATTTTTCTGCAATGAACTACGTATATTTGCTCGCATAGCCCTCTGCGTTTTTCCTTTTTATTTTGTAAAATCTTGGAAAAGCTGGTCGTTCGAGCTGTGCTGCAATTTTTATTTAGCGTTCCATTTGAAACGCCAATTTTTTGCCACAAGTTGCTGCCGTGAGCTCAGTGAGAAGAAGCATACTGTGCGTTCTCATTGGTTGTAGTATTATTTAAAAATTAAAAATGTTAAAAGTGTTAAAATGTATTATTTTACATTACTTGCTTTAACCCCGTAAATTATGAGGCAAAATTATCTGGAGTCTTTGGTGTGAATATTTTTTTCTGTATCATAGTTTACATTCTTGAAAAATGCAATACAATAAAACATCAATCATTGCAGCAAGAAAGTTTTTATGTGAGTTTATAGATAAATTTAATCTTTACAGGCAAACAGAACTTTCGTGGAAACTTAAGTGAAGAAAGATGCGACTGCAATTCTCCGATCAAAGAATAAAATTTACTTGTCAAAAGTTTATTATTGGCAAGTTTTAATTTTTATTTTAGTTTTAGTATCCGAAAACAAGTATTACCTTTCGAGAAATTAAATTCACGAAGCAACAACTTAGATTAATCAAAGGAATATGGCTACGACCTTCTGATACACTTCAATTTAATATTAATTCCTTGTGTCCTCATTGCAGTATGAGATAAATATTATTACGCTGTGAACTAAATTTTAATGTTAACTAGGAAAATGTTTTCGAATATGAAAATTCTCTGTTAAATTTGTTCGTACCGGACATCGAAACAACGCGATCGTTTGGCCAGCAGTAGAGGCAAGTGCTTCCTGGGCAAGAATATTGCTTGAGAATATAATGAAACACTTTGGCTGGGATTCAAAAATTGTCCTGTGAGTGACTTGTAAGAAATGCTGCTCGGTATGTCAGTGATGAGGAACGTAGTGTGTCTAAAGCTCGTATAGGTGCGAGTTCAAGTCCATTTTTTATTCTAAACTATAATTACATGTATGCAATATTAACACGCCAGTTGAACTGCTGTAAGTGACAAGGTTTGCATGCAAAAAGCGATTCCAAAATTAGTAATGAAAATCAATATCTTAATATCTGTAATAATTTTGAGAACAAATGCAATATACACCGAACAGGGTTTCTTTACACTACTGGATTATTTACGCTCACACGATCACGTGGAGCTATTATCTTTGTGCGCTTTGATACTTACCTCACCTAAGTCTCCCTGAAATATTTCTTAGTTTCTCCTTCATTCTCTTCTTCATGCTATACGTTTTGCTTCCGAACGCCCTGTGGCAGCATGAGCATTAAAAGCCGCTTGTCATGCCCACACTCTCGTAAATATTAATTAAACTCTGACACAAAGATCATAACTGAAAGTCTTCATAATTCTCTCCCCTTAACTGCCTACTTGTATACAGTGGGGTTGGCATGAGACAGCGTGTGTCTTGGGCTTGGGCATGGGCGGCTTGAGACAGCGGATGGTTTGGGCTTGGTTATGGGCAGCAAAACCTCCAAAAATGAGTAATTCACTATCAAAACATAAATGAAACCAAAGTTTTTATTTCGTCTAGCTTTGCGTATGCGCAATTTCTCCATGTCGACGTCGTGTTTAAAAAAAAATTTGCATGTTTTTATAGGTCCTATACATTTTATTTGTGAACTTTCGTTAATGTTTAAAATATTTTCTTCGTATAGATCTATCTTAATCAAAGCCAACGACCTATGATGGAGCATGAACAGCTGGATTGCGTTGATAATTGTCCGATATAATAGCATGCGTTCATAATCGAGGGCAGAGAACATAACTCTCAATCAATATGACTTCGCAGCATCACAATTCTTCATCTCTCATCGAACTTAAGTGATTTGGCATGCCTCTGAATATCTTTTTATTTATATAGCTCAACGCGTGTTTTTAGAGATGACNATCTTTCAAGCAATGACCTACCTCTCCGCAAATCGCATCTGGCCAAGTGTCATCTGCACCGACAGCCTGTCGTCCCTGCAGTTGCTCTCTCAACCACTTCCAACTAGCTACACGCACCTCATTGCCTCAATCCACAACCTCCTCACCCGAATACCAGCGGGAGCAGTCAAGTTCCAGTGGATTCCCAGCCACACAGGCGTGCCGGGGAACGAAGCCGCAGACAAGGTCGCCAGGAGGGCAGCCTCATCAGAGAGCATCCCGGTTGAACTTCCTCTTGACGTAACAGAACTAAAATCTATGGTCCGCCAGGAGGTCTGGCGGTTTTGGCAATCAAAATGGACCTCAGCACGCGGTCAATTTGCCTTAGGCATGACCAAACTCTCTGTCCGACCATGGTCTCTTCGCACGCTTCAGTCTCGCCGATTTGAGACTCTCTTTGCTCGCCTTCGTCTCGGAACAGCACCACTCAATAAAGCCCTCTACCAGATTCGTCAAGCTCCGTCACCACTCTGCACCTCGTGTCAAGTCGCCGAAACAACCCACCACTACCTCATTGCATGCAAAGAGTACAACGAAGCACGATCGCAGCTGCGTCGCCAGTTACAATTGCACGGAGTTCAGGTCCTCAGTCTGTACACACTATTGGGTGGAGACACTGCCAGTTCACTTGCCTGGCCTCAGACCTGCCGAGCAGTTGAGCAGTTCATCAGCGCAACACATCGCTTTGGCCAATAATTTTGAACAAGAGCAGTTCACGGAGTGAATCGTATAAAGCGTAGCATTCCGTCAACCCACCGAATAATAATAATAATAATAATAATAATTCCTGGTCTCAACGCCAGTCAGTGCGGTGTGGAGTGAAGACGCTGGTCATCGAGCTCATCGCTTAACGTAGTAAGTGCTGTCGAATATCAACCTACCAAATAAACTATCAACCAGACTAATGTAAAATAATTTCTACCATCGTAGCCCGCAATTGTGTTTATTTCATCAGTACGGATTGTTGATAAAAATTTCCACTGTTCCCTTTACCGTTTCATTGGCTACTTGTATGAATTACAAGCGGCAGTCAGTTTAATGTGAAGACCATTATTAGATTGATATGTAACCACATTAGACTCTTATTCAATGGTTACCTAAAGATTTTTGTAGTTCAAATATGCGTGACTTCAAACGTGAAGGGTACAATATAGTTCTATTCACTCCAGTATTTAAATTCTGGTAATTTAAATAAAATTAAAAGCATATTTGGTATTGTCGGGATAACCAAATGTCGTTCACTACTGTCCAATTATGAATAGTTTTCTCCAAGTAGCCAGCGGCCTTCGTGATTCATTTCGGCAATATTTGTATAGAGTGATTCATTATGAACGATTCAGTCCCATTCAATGATCGAATACTCTACCGCTTTAGTTCTCACTAAAATCGAGAATGACGTTCAGAAATGCTGTTAGTTATAAAATCGGCATGCAATTGGGACCTCTAGATTATTTAAGGGGCCTGTCTTCCACGCTAATTCAAATTGGAGCAAACGTGCAGTCGTATGTTCGTATCAATGTTTTGGTGTCATATTACCTGCCTTGAACGTAGAGAACATTCTAATGATAATTGATAAGTAGCGGAAAGTTGTTAAGCGTACGTACCGTAGCATTATAGGTAGCATAAAACTTTGATACACTTTGACGTGATCGCGACGCATAATTTTGTTCCGGAGTCGCGGAGTGTCTCTCGGTCTATTGTTATGTATGTTGGTCTCATACTGAAATACTTTCGCGTATTTCAGTATGAGAATGCTTTTCATTGCCTCGAATAGCGTATCAAGGCGGATTTTGTTGTTAGGAATTCTCAGTTAACTTTTCTAAACACTTTGAAATTCAAATACTTGTCAAACAAACTACATACTAGTAATTAATTGCGGTGAAATATGAGAGAAAGAAGTCTCTGACGAATAAATATTCGTTTCATGAAATTTCTGTTGTAGCGCCCACATGTACCTAGTATTCCGTACTATAGTTCCTACGAGTAAGTTATGTCGCTCTAGAACTAGTGACCATTGTTAGCATTGACTCGGCTCTTGTACGTTCAAGACCTGCAACTACTGTTCTCCTTGTAAGTATTGTGTAAATAGTTTCGTTAAGAGTAAGACCTTCACATATGAATATATTCTTATTGCGTTTCCGTTTTCCTGTTTAATAGTAGTGTTATTTTGTTCCAGGATGTTGCGGTCTTGTTGAAAAAAGCTCTTGATGAGTTATCTCGGCTTTCGCTTACAACAATTAGAACTGAAGATATTACTTATTATTTAATCCATATGCATGCAGCTGCGTGGAAGACTCGTTGATTTACTCGAATTCCCTCGTCCGCCAAATTCGCCCGCTTCCTTTGAAGTGCATAATTTTGGTCGGACGCGTTAACTCGAGGAATGGATTAGGCATTAGCGTTAACTTCAACAATCACTGCCAATCTGGCTGTGTTGATTTACTCCAAATAGAACATTATATGATCTGCCGCTATGTCAACAGGTTCAATGAAAACTATTTTACTATTCAAATATTCATGTTTCCTGCAATCAGTTATATGAAAATCTAAAATGGCTGGGATAACGTCAACTAATTTTTATCACACATATAAATTTAGGGAACTTGACTCAGTTGCCAATGTATAATTCTTAGCGTTGCAAGTTTGTACGTCGGTTAGCGACTGCTTCGTTATGTTGATAAATCAGTGATTAATTTAAAAAAAAACACTTTTTTTAAAGTGCTTAAAAAAATTTCCAAAACAGGCAATTAGAAGTGACTTCACTTTCTCTCATTCTACCCGTGTTTGTCTTTCAAAATACAAAAAATAAAAAAGGAAAAAATTCCATGCTGCATGCTGCAGCCTTTTTCAAACCTTGCTATTCAGCGCACCTCCTGCACAGCTATTCAGCCCTTCGCTTTCCCAGGCAACTCGTGGCTCGAGAGCCACGGCCAAGGAGGCTGTGCAAATCGTCCATCAAAACTTAGGTCGCCTAATAAACAGCAGCCGAAAGACGCAGTATGTCGCCATTAGTCTCTACGAGCCTCCTTATTGTAAACTTCCTCGAAAGTCGAAAGAAATTTGATTGTCCGACGCTTCAAAGACTGAAGAAGTATCCTATCTTAAGAATGTACGTACTTATACTTCTCATGTTTTTCAACTTTCAATGTTTGTTCAATTAGAGGAAATGAATCAGTGGGAAACTTTTTTATATGAGAATGGCTTCTGTTTGAGCAGTAAAAAATAATAGCGAAAGATAGCTAGTGAAACATAAAACATATTTTCTATGTGTTCCAGCTGTTAGCCCAACACTCGCTTTCGACACTCGACGAAAGTACTTGAAAAATTATACTCGAACGTAAATTTTTTGCTATTAATCTAAGCTTGAAAATTCGTTGAATATCATTCAAATCGGTAATTTGCATCAGAATGTTAGTATTACACAACCATCACCAACTCATACCGTCATAAATTTCTGTTATTAGTATTCCGGTATTGATATTATTAATAAAATCAATAATAATAATAATAAATTACTACTACTACTACTATTGTTATTATTATTACAATTATTGTTATTAATATTATTAATTTTATTAATAATATCATCCCTTTGTCGAGGGCCCCTCAGATATTCAGAGTTATGGCAATAACAGATAAAAACGACTATGTACAACATTCAAGTCTCAATTAAATAGCCATAGGACGTCCTTGTCGCAGCTCCTGAGTTTGTGACATATTGAAAGCCTTCCTCAATATTGCCTCGTCCATAGTCAGCCGATGCTGTGAACTTTGTTGACTGGGAGGGTAAGTGACCAGTCATTACTAGGAGGGTATTTAATTTTAATTTTTATTTTTCACCGATTTTTCCGCACAAGGAATTTATTTTTCAAACGTTATCATTATCCAGGAACCGATACTCACATCTAAACGATAATTAATTATTTCAATTCTTCTCATAAAACTCAATTGGTAAGCAAAATAATCTGTAATGACTTGATGTGGGATAAAGGAATACTCTACCTCTGTTATATGTGCATAAATTAATGGAAAATTAAATATACACAATTTCAATACAGATGAGTTTTTTGTAGTGCATTAGTTAAAATTTGTAACAAATATATTTCTTTAAGGAAAAACTTCAGAATTACTCATTACATTTAAGAAATTTTTTAATTAAATTGATTGCAGTTTCAGTCATGTCCATTTGCCAACCTTTAATCTCAGGCGCTCCGTCGTACTTCGAATTTCACTAATTTAAATGTGGCCTTTGAAGCCTTTCGCTGAGTGCCAAAATTGAAAATATTTGGTTAGGTCTTCTCTTCCGATAAATGAACAGTTCAGGAATGAATTTTACTTGAACTAAAGTTAGTTAGCAATAACGTAGAGACGAAACCAATTGCTTAAAGACTTTTAATATTTTCTGTTGAAAACTAGAAAGACGTTCTTTCTGATAACAGGAAATAATCTTAAAATGGCACGCAAAACTTAGGAAATGAAAATCACACAAACAAATTCATTGATCAGTGTTAAAATGTGCTTATCACTGGCAAATTCTACCGGAAAAGTCCTTGGATAGATTCAGGAATAAATCCGGTTTCATGATATAAATATAAGTTATAAGTATAAGTTTCATTTTCTGTTGATTACATTATCTAAATTTAGTAAAATATTCTTATGGTGACTCTTACTAATTGGCAATTTTGTTCTTCTTTTGTAATCGTCTTGACAAAGTCTTAGGAATATTCTTTTAACATTTGCCGCTGTCAAATGGATATGGTTTCTTTTCTAATAAAGATATTACACTAAAGCTTGTATTTCCACGGAAATAAATGCGGCTGAAATATTTTTAGTAAGGATTTCTGTATACTGTAGGATTTCTGGTGTAGATGCTGTCTGCGAGACTCAACGATTTCATCAGCCGGACAAGCTGGTCGAGTTCCGGTCACGAAAACGCTGTTTTAAGTAGTCTGTTTCGTTCCACTTCAGTTTAATTCTCACATGTGTGGACGCTGTAAATCCTATACGAACAAATTCTGACAATAAAACATTTTATTTACGCTAGACACGGTAACAACTTAATGGGAGCCGCCGTGGATATCCTCCTGACAGTAGTTTATTTTTTATTCGGCATCTTGAATGAGTGTGCGCAATGCTTCATGAACGACTAAATGAACAAGAGTTCACTATTATATAATACATCCAAAGTCAGATCCAGTTGAATTCGTTACTTTTAATGTAGATGAAAGCCAAATCAGAATATGATACACAGGATAAAAAAAATACCGAAATATTCATATAACAAGTTGCAGAGTTAATTTGCAGTGTTATGTTGCAAGTTTAAGTTGCAGGGTTAAGTTACAGAGTTAATTTGCAGGGTTATGTTGCAAGGTTAAGTTGCAGGGTTAAGTTGCAGGGTTAAGTTACAGAGTTGAGTTGCAGGGTTAAGTTACACGGTAAGTTGCAGGGTCAAGAGAACGTATATCATACTGCTTCCAATTATTACGCAAGTCTGGCATTCAAATTGCTCATGATTTCAAGAAGAAGCTGGACGAACTTTTGTTGAACTCTTGCGACCGCGGCTGCCGCTCGAGCGAGTGGACCGAGGCGTATTTCTTACGGAAGAAAAGTTGCCTGGACAAATGACGCTGACAGATGGCGGACATTCGAGGTAAATCGAGAGCGTGGTTCCGACGTTCCCTTCACATTTCTTGAAA